GTTGGTCAGGCTAGTCTCAAACTCCTGATCTCGTGATCTGCCCTCCTCAGCCTCCCAAAGTACTGGGATTACAGGCATAAGCCACCATGCCCAGCCAAAAATATTATTTATTTTAAAAATGGGTAATATATGCATGTTGTCTGAAATTAAAAAGATTTAAAAAAAGAGTATGCTTTTTGTTTTCCCTATTCCCCTGGCTACCTCATCCCAGTATCTCTTTTTAGATACAACCAGTTACCACTTACTTTTTTTTTTTTTTTAGTAGAGACAAGGTTTCTCCATGTTGGTCAGGCTGGTCTCAAACCGCCAACCTCAGATGATCCGCCTGCCTCAGCCTCCCAAAGTGCTGGGATTACAGGCATGAGCCACCACTCCTGGCCTTCTAGAAGTTAACAATGCACTAGTTCATTCTTTAACAGAAGTTTTAAACTTTAGTGTTTATAATTTATTTATTTTTTTCTTTTTATTTTTTATTACCCAGAAGATTTAGAATTGATATCGTTTAATTTTGTAGTCAATATTCAGGATTTTTGCTATGTGTTTGAGAAGTAGGAATTGTATTTTCTTTTGCTTGAGAGTTTTTGAGTTACAACTTTACACTAGTTATGTGTTACATGTATGTTTTTATATTTGTGAATGAATTATCTATGTTTTAATTTTTGTTCACGAACTCCTCAGAATGTGACAATGTTGATTAGGATGTTTTAAGTTATGTGGGATAGTAAAATGAAACATTAGCTCTAAATTTTTTATTTTTAATTGACACATAACTATACATATTTATGGGATACAGGGTGATACTTGAATACATGTATACCATGTATAGATCAAATCAGGGTAACTGGCATATCCATCACCTCAAACATCGATCATTTCTTACTGTTGAGAACATACAGAATCCTCTATTAAAACTAATGGAACTCTCCATGAATTTGCGTGTTATTTTTGTGCAGGAGCCCTGCTAATTTTCTCTGTATTGTTTCAGTTTTAGTGTATGTGCTGCCGAAGTGAGCACTGGCCTTAATTTTTAGGAAGTAGTGGAAATGATATTTTAAGATACTAGAAATCTTATTGAAACACATTGTAGCTGTTCTTAAAAATTGTCCTGATTACTAACCAATCCATATACAGATATGCAAACAATTGCCCAAAGAAATGAGGGGGTCTGTCAAAAATAAAGGCTTCTCCTTTGGTTTCCTTAGCCACAGTTTATACCATTGACTACCTAACTGCAGCTCAGTGTGAAATTCAGTAACATGGAAACAAGAAATGGAAGCCTATGACCTAATATGTTTTCTTCCTTAGATCAACCTCTCCACTTCTCCTACACCTGCACAGTTAATAAGCCGTTCCCAGGCTTCCAGTTCTACCAGCGGCAGTATTACCCAACAGACTATGTTACTAGGGAGTACTTCCCCTACCCTAACGGCAAGCCAAGCTCAAATGTATCTCCGAGCTCAAATGGTAAGATATGAGCTACCAAATTTTTTCAGTGTTTAAGGACTTGAGAGATCAAAATGTTTCTTGATTTGATACAATAAGAGGTATTTTTAATATTTAAGAAATGTTTAATTGTGTGTGTGCATGTGGGTACGCCTTCAGCTCTTGTACATTTATGTCATGAAAGATTCTACATTTAATTAATAGGTCTTTTGGTATCAAATAGTAATTATCAACATTGGGAAGCTAATAGAGTCAATATCAAGAGTGATTATTTTTTAATCGAAAACAAACTTTTTTTTTTTTTTTT